TATAAGATAAGAGTGATTTGTATAGTTTTTTTGGATTTTAAAATGAATCTTTTCTTTGAATATCTTGAATATTCATTTAATCTTAATGATTAAAAACCAAGTAGACATTAAATTTTTTTTTCTTAGTTAAGAAGCACGATGTTTTACATTATTGGGCCATCAAAACTATAATATTTATAATAAATATACAAGTTAATTTATTTTTAACCTTATAATCTATCTATTATAGTATGAATTCTTATTTTTTGAAACTCTGAATTTAACAAAGAGTATCAAAATTAACCAATATTCTCCTAATCTAAAAGATATTGAAATTTAGAATGAGAAATCATATTAAAAACTCATATAATATTTAGAATTTTGGAGTATAATAAGTGAAATAGATAGTGTTTTATAGCTGAGAAATTATATTAGTAGAAATAATTGGCTTAGTAAGTCACAAACATTATTTTTGGTTTATAATTTCAAATTAAATAGTCTATACATAATCTAAATGTATCTATAAATTATTAAACTATTTTGAGATAAATTGAATATTAAGTACTTTTTAATATTTCATTCTATAAAATTATGATATTTTCTCTCCTTCCATTTCTATATATTAACGTTTACTAAACATTTAACTAAGCAATGAATTTATTAATTATTTTTAAATCATTTTTTTTAAATTATATGATTATAAATAACGAAATTATCTATAAAATAATATTTACAATCTAAATCATGATTCAGAACTGGCAACTAAAATAGGTTTCTAATATCAAATCATAGTAAATACTACTTAGAGGTTTAATAATTTAGATTCTTTTAGTATTTTAAAAATTCCTTCTTCATTATTTTTTTCATTGTTCTAGTCTTTTATTTTAAATTTTATGGTTATTTTATTTTTATATTAAAATAATATTCTTACAATTATGATCAACTTCAAACAAATCACCTTATATCAATTTAAAAATTTCCTCACATATAATTTTCTAATATGATTAATTTCAATGGTTGAATTAAAACAATAAGAATTAGTATTCCTATAGCTTAATTTAATGTTTTTTATGAAATTAAATAATTTAGGGAAAAAACTCAATTCGAAGAAGCAATAAATTCTTTTGGTTAATTGATTAAAATTAATCCAAATAACAATTAAGCCAATATTGAAAAATGTATCAAAAAATAATCATTTAGGAAATGAATTAACTCTAAATGAAAAATATTTAGCAATTCTATTTATTGGAATTTCACGAAGCTCATAACTGCGCCAACAAGACCATTTATATAGACCCAAATTAAGAGGCAGCTTATATTTTATTAGGTTTTTTATTTAAGAATTATAGGCATTTCATTATCTAAATTGAGACACACACAACAGGCAATTAATTCATTCCATAAAGTTATGTATATCAACCAAAAATTTTGAGGCACTTACAGACAATTATTTTGAATGAGATTTAAAAATTAAAATTTCGCTGAAAGATTATCAAATAGAGGTGGAATTGCAAATTATTCTCAATAGAAATGAAGTGATAATTATAAATGTATGCCTTATTACTTTTATAATTTATTTTTTTTTATAATTTTTTTCATATGAACTTTATTTTAAAGAAGCTACATAAAATTTTTAGCACTATTTTGATATCTTTTTCAAATTACTAACAAATGATTACTGTTACATTAATATGGAAAATGGGTAATGCAAATAGAAAAAATTTAATAAACATTCAGAATATTTTGATTTGCTATGTAGGAAATTTACAATAAATAGATCATAAGTGCAACAACTAAATACTAGCATAATTTACTTTTTTTCAAAAAGCTGAATCACTTTTAGGATTGTCTTATCTCTTAATTGCTTATCATTTTTTTTATTCTTAAATTTAAGATTACTTTTCTTTTGGGACTTTAGATAATCTTTTGAGCCTGACTTTTTCTCTTAAGTTAATTCAAGAGATGTAATTTAATAAACTATTTTTAAGTGAGGCTTTTTAAATCGCATTTTTCATAGTTATATATTTCTTAAAATATGAATGATAAGCAAATTTATTGCCCTTTCTTTATTCAGTAAATACATAGAATTAACACTCCAAGATATTCCCTATTATTATGTTATATTCTCAAGCTCTTCAAGAATTTCCTCTTGTTATTGATCACAATAAAAGGCCTATATCTTCATATAAATGATCTAGCTTTGTATACCTTAAATACTTTATAAAGATTAAACTTATTAAAAGGATTCCTTTAAATTCATAATAAAATGATGATTTAATCTAAAAAGAACTACGGTATTAGAGAAGTTATAATCATAGTTTTTCCAAATAATAATATTTTATTTAAAAAAATTCCAATATTGATACATAAATTCATATTCCATTAAAATAAAATAAATACATTTATTTAAATATAA